CAATGTATTTTTGCCATTTGATTACTTCAATAGCATTATGTAAAATAAAAAAACGTGTCTAAAACAAATGAAATTATCTGTTTATAAAGCTTGTCATGTTCTTTTTCTTCAAAGCATAATCATTTGTTTCCATAAGAAAATAAATGTATTCGTAGACAACAAAAATGATCAAAAGAACAACTGAACTCCTGCCGTTCGTTGTAATTCGAAAAATAGAGAAAATATCAAATTTTTCATCATCTACAATAGTTTTACAAAATTCTCTTGGTACTATCGACATCATTCAATAGAAAATCAAGTAAGCTCTTTTGCATATTATTCTTATTCTACACGTATTATATAATTTAGCTGCGTTATCGATCATAATATCAAACGGACTACTTCTTATGATTATTTATCTGTCTACTACTCGATCGGGAATTCGAATAGATGCCATTAAGAACGATAAGATTTCCTATGACAAAGCTTTATACTCGATTCATTTGTTTAGCTTTCAATTGTTTTCTAATTAAATTTTGTATATAAGTAGATGTCAATTTTTCTAAACAATTATTTTCCTTAAGATCAATTTAAAAAAAAAGATCATTGACGAAGCAAAATCATGATGAATATTCGAATAATGCAATACATTCAATGAGAACGGTTATTGGTATTTTATAGCTTTCTTCAAAGTCTTTACGAAAAAGCTCTATATGTATTCTAGCAAAAATTCATAAGTAATCTTAGAATATCACTCAAAATCATAGTTGCAATTAAGAAATTTATAGATGAAGTTTTATTTGTTGTTTATGATACGGATAATAATTGAAAACGGTACTTACTTATAAAATCTGAAATTAATAACTTAAATATCTAAGATTTAAGGCTTGTCTACATCTTTATCCTTTTTATTTTAATAGTTCTATTCTCACATTTACGAATAAAACTGTTTATGGAATATGGAAAACTGTTGTTAGTTGTAATACCAATCCATCATTGAATGGTTCTAATGTTAGCAATTATTATCCATCTGCAAAATCAAATAGTATTATCGACACGAATATTTGTATAAAATATATTCATTTTGGATCATGAAATCTTCGTTTCCTTACAAGTTTCTTTTGATTGTACAGTAATACTGAACAAAAAAAGGTGCCTTATTATACTTTTAGCTGTAAGATTTCACACGCCTTCAAGTTTATTACAATCTGACCTAAGGCGACAATAACAATAGAAGAGAGTTATCGAATGCTTTCACTATTAATTAAGGATTTCAGTTGAACGCTCATATATGATAGTTCATCTATTTTCAAACTTGATCAGTTATTCAAATTATCGAGTTCTTGTTACTTCAGTATAAAACATCATTGATGCCGTGCAATATCTTGCAGTTGCATTGATTAGCTATTCATCAGTAAGAAATGATTATTTATATTTGTATAAATATACAAAAACAAATGACTTTCTTGGACTTATTTCGAGTGAATGGATTTAAAAATTTTTAGTTCATTGATTCTTCGACATTTAATTTTTTTGTAAAAAAAAAAAAGAATACATTTTTATTATCAATTTTGATTATAAAAGTACAAAGCTAGTCATCGGTTATAATTAATCTAGTCTGATCTAATTTTTTCTTTTATTTCATTGTAAGGTGTTTTACTTAAATTTAACAGATCTATCTTACATCAGTACACAATAGACTATTTGTCCCCAATAATGATTTACTTCGATGATACTAGTTTGATGACTCTATAATGAGATGATCAAGAAAATAAACATACATATTCATAAATGCTAGAAGATATCTATTAGTAATAATTCGAGATGTGTGGAACCAAAACTTTTTTCTAATCCTGGCTTCGGTCATCGAAACCAAAAGAAAATATTATACCAGGATCGGGATTCGGACAGCTCTCGCAAATGTCTAGGGACGATTTTTTTATTAAAATAATATATCAACAATACATAATTATGGAAGAGTAGCCATAAAAAAGAATAAGATAACGATGTCAATAAATATATTCATGTCAATATTTAAATAACATAAAATAAATTTTTATTTAATAAAACTGTTATATTCCTATGCTTAATAATGCAAATCGTTCGTAGCCACAAAAGCTTTTGTTTTTTATTATATATCAATTCGATTTATTCATGTTAGATAAATATATATGTTAAAACTTT